TTATTATGGTGAACAGATTATCATTGTGTCATTTGCAAAAATTGTGCATTTCCTTCGAATGGATCATCCAGATCAAGTAAATGAAGCAAGAAATCATGGGCCGAGAAGAGATCCCTGTCAAATGTCTTATACTTCATTTCCACTTCATTTTGAAAGTTTACAAAATCGCATAATATCTTAAAAGACACAAGAAACAATAATTTGAGTAAATTCATTGAAATCAATGAAGATAAAACCCCAGTCTCGGATATATCGACAGTATACAAGTTGACCTGTGGTTCTTGTCTGAAATTTTGTATCGGACAAACCGGAAGAACTCTTTCCAAAAGAATGAAAGAGTATAGAATCAGTTCTTTGAATCAAATTATGATTTCAACATTTGCATGTGTTGGTCAGTTCTCTCATATTTTAGTAGAGTTAATATTGCCTTTGGCTGATTTTTTAAATTTGCAAACAAAATTGTGAAGAACACAGTATGTCGTGAATAGCGAAATAGCTCAAAACACTGCCCTTCATAGATTTTTTTCATATTTACGCTGGTGTTGGAAAAAAAAAATGTAGTGAGTCTGATTTTTTTGGCACATTTGAATCAGAACCTTTGAAAAATTAAATTACCTGAGACATTTTCTCAATTTACTTTCAGTTCAATAGTTATTCCTGTTCTTCTTATGAGAGTTCACAATTTCCGATACTTATTTAATGAAATAGTAGACTCTAGTAGAAATGATAGTATATCCACTAATCTGTTCTTTAACTTCCTTACTGATTTTCCTCAATCAGTGACATAGTGCACCAAATACGAATGATCATAATGGCTTCATAAAAAATAGTGAAACATCGTCTGAACTATATCTACGATCATTCTGATATTTTGAATCTTTCACGACGCAAACGGGATTACAAGTAGGAAATTTCATGAAGAACAAATTTCAATTGCGAAAAAATAACGGTACTAGAGTAATTTTCAAAAGGTCTCACATTTCCATTTTTCTCATTGTTTTTATTCATTTAGTATTGACAAAATATTATAGTGATGTTTTTGTATCACAGATTTTGAGTTGTTGGAACCCAATTGAAAAAATAGCTCCAACAAATTATAACTGAATGCTTTCAAAAACAAAAAACCAGATATGAGGGAACAAGCAAGTCGAGAAAAGCGAATATAAGTTGAATTTTGATATGACAGTGAACTCTCAGATTTTCCACTCACATGAATATGAAAATAAAGAACCTCTCTGAAATAACTACTTTCTTCTAGGTATGTTTGATTGTAAAGTAACCCTCCAAATACAGAGTGGTCCAGCATAAAGTATGCACCTTGCTTTTCTCCTTTTTTTTTGTAACTTAACGCAAAAATTCTCGGACAGGTCAGTTTTGCTTTTGAGGGGGACACATTTTAGATGTATTTTTCTACCTGTGCCTTCAACCCCCTAGCGAGGGTGAGTAACAACCCTAAAATTTTAAATGGAAAGTGGGGTCGAACTTCCCGAGATTCAACTTCGTCGAATACGTAATTATTATTGTTTTATAACCTAGAGTGATTGTTTGCTACATTTTCAGTGTTCCCAATATTATTATTCAATTTCTACAAGAACTACATCGAGTACCCACATGCGTTCCACTTTTACAGAGAATATAAAATGAGCCAGTGGTACCTACGTAAACTCAAATAACTATATTGAATCCCATTATTTTCATGGTATGATATTTTGTGACATTTTATCAGGAATTACTGCCGTTAAAGTATCTGTTGATTTATTCAATTTTTCCAAGTTCGTGTTTATTTTTGTGTTGCCTTATAACAGTTTTGAAGAAGTAAAGTTGCCTCATGTCTAAAATCAATGTTTCCTTGTATAGCGCTTTTGTGGGGTGAGTTCTTTTTTTATTTGTGATTATTTTCTGAGTTAATTTTGGAATTTCTAAAAGGACTTTTATATGAGAATTACTTGCTGCTCCCCAAGCAACTGTCCTATAGGAGAGGTGAGTTTTAAACAAGGTTTAGTATAGCATGAGCTTTTGAGCTATATCTAGGTAGGATGTCATGTATTTCAATCTATATGTAGCAGCATTCGATAGTATGATTTACAGAATATTGAATACTTCTCTTTCAGAAAGGAATTTTCAAAGAGAACCATTTTCTAGAAAACATATTGCTGTCAACAACGGTTACAAGATGGATATTATTGGCTCAATTCTTTCTGAAAAACTGCAGAAACTAGCTCAGAACCAGGTCTATCCTGTTTCAAAGAATGATACTGAACATTATGTAACTCTAACTTACTTTGGTGACCCTAATGATATCACTGGTTTTTTAAAAGGCAAAAAATTGGACGTAGCCCACAGAACAAATAATAATTTGAGTGAATAACAAAACAATAGAGATAAAACGCCAGTGTCGGATCGGTGGATACAAGTTGATTTGTGGCTCTTGTCAAAAAATTTATATTGGACAACCTGGAAGATCTTTTTCCATAATAATAAAAGAGCATAAACGTAGTTTTTGAATGGAAAGACCAAGTCAACATTTGCGAATCATCGAGTAGATTTGAATTGTTTCCCCTAATTGAATTTGGTTTGAAACGAGGAAGTTGGTATTTAGAACAGATCTTGAAAGTAAGTAGGATGGTAGTTCAGGTAAACATTGTTATTCCTCATTCTCCAGTCTTATGACTTGTTCCTAGATAGGAAAATAGTTCAGGTAATGAATATATCATGAAGAAATTTGGCAGGTAGTAATAATCATAATGATTCGAATTACTACGAAAGCACGGAACTTTCAAGTGAGGTGTGTCTTTTGAACCCGTTTTGCATGTTTTTGAAAACGCATTGAAATAGTTTTAAAGCCACACATCTTCGCAAGGATTGAACCGATTTAAGGAAGCTAATCTTGCCCCTCTTACAAGTGAATCCAACAAGTTTTTGGATCCTTGCAGAAAGTTTTTCTTCTGGCAGACTTGTCTTGCAGTGCTTTGGCGACGGCCAGACAGTTTACGTTCTATTCCAATAATTTCCAATTTCATGAATCTTCCACTCGCAAACCTGGCTAATTACAATTCATTTATTTCAGTCGCTGACATTTGAGCAAATAGCCGGTTCCTTTCTATATTACAATAATTATTATTGCTTCGTATCGCAAATGGCATACGATAGCGCTCTCTCCTCGTGAGTCAACGACACCGGAGTTTTGCAATTATATTTCGTATGACTTCGCGTACTTTCTTACCGACAACTTTCATATTCATCTACTGGAAATGGAATTCGCTCATTAATTTCTTTTATCGTTGTGTCTAGGTCCACGCTCAAGCAGCGATTATAATGACTCGCTCACCTGTGATTGCTGGTAATTTACATGTGTTTATGATATGACTGCTGGGAATCGGAAAAGCCAGTTCAATACTTTTATTATCGAGTCAAGCATTTATTAACTTTCTTTGCAAATCGCGAGTACGCGTCATGGAACGTCTTTCGTTGAACTGACTTTACTAACCTCACTTTTCAGTGGTAAAGTTAGGTAAGTACAGGCAAGCAAAGTTACTGAAATGCATTTCAGTTATTGTCGAACAATTGCCTAGAATTTGACGTGAAAGAAAAATAACACAAGTCCGCAACAAAAAAGTTTTCTGGACGTTTTCAACTATTTGTATGTATTTAGGTGTTCTGTTAGGATATTTTACTAAACGCGAAATTGTATTATAAAAAAAGGGTTTTTGTGCTAACTTGCCGTCATAAATAAATACGTACAATTTTATTTTTATTGCTGTTTTTGAATGTATACAAGCCATAACTATTATTACTTCCTAAATAAAGAACGTCCTGTGCTCTACTTTGCCCAAGAAGACAAGTTGGTTCATTGTACCAATATTTATTTTATTATTTATTTTATTTATTTATTTATTTCATACAATATTCTACAGGATGAACCCAATTACAGAATAGGGAGTGACAGTGGCATTTACAAATATGTACTTACATAATATAATTTGTGAATCTATATAAAAAAAATGAAATCTGTGAC